GTATGGGATCTTCTTCTTTCGGTTCTTGCTCTCGTAATTATAGAGATAAAGTTTACGATCCTGGAAGTTTATTATGCTCTAGCAGTTTTATGCTTTTTACTAGGATTTAACACTTGGATTCTCCATTGCAGGTAATTTCCAAGTTAAGAGAAGCTATGTGCTTATGCAGTTTGATTGAAGATGTGTTGTTTCTGAATTTTTAATTTATTATATAATAGTGCGCACATCGTATCCCTTTTTATCATGTGTGTAAAACTCGACTAAACACCTTGTTTCAGTAATAATGAAACTTAATTATTATAAATTTTGCTTGATATTCCTATTCGTTGTCTTCCAATTGGTGGCCGTATTTATTATATGTTTTTCATTTGTACTATGATTTGATTAAACACTTGGAAGGAATCAAAAGTTTTTACAACATGGGAATACGGCCGCGGCAAAATGCGGCACATGATAAAAGTGGTGCAACCAGCATGAAATCCCCTTTAGCTACTACTAACCTATTGAATAGTCCATCAATTAAGTATGTAATTGTTGTTTTCATATTAACTCATGATGCATGAAATTGCATTATACTAAATATTAATTTAAGGCCAAATCTCATTGTTAGTCCCTCATGTCTAGGTTTCATCCCACTATAGTCCCTCATCTCTCAAATGCACCATCAAAGTCCCTCATCTTTTATGAGTATATCAATGTTGTCCTTGGCTTCATATTTCCGTTAAATACTAGCGGAGAGTCACAATAAATAATTATTAATATAGGGGATAATTTGGGTAAATTACAATCACCCCTTGAGGTATGGTCAAATTACAAAAAAACCCCTCTTGTTTGGATAATTACAACCACCCCATCAAATATAAATCTTTTTACTCGTCCACCCTTGCGGTTTCAAATTTCGTGGAATTTTCTAGATATTATGGATTCTTATCACTTTTGTACCCGTTTTATCCTATTCGAACTCCACATTTTAAAGCAAGATGATCATAATATGTGTTTATAAGCTTGTATATATCTGATTGTGGTGCATCAGAAACTGTATTTTTACACAAAAAAAACGAGTACAAACTAGAACACATTTCACGAAATCTAGATGAGTATGTTGAATTTGACACCGTAAGGGTAGAAGTGTAAGAAAAAATCATAGCTGAGGGGGTAAATGTAATTATCCAATCAAGAGCGATTTTTTTCGTAAATTGATCATACCTCAGGGGGTTGTAATTTATCCGGGATAATATTGATATTTTACTTTTCTATTACATTGCAAGATAAACCATCATTTTTTCAACTTCATGCATTGTTGCCAAAAACTTCTTTTAAATTCAATATTCCCCTCTATATAGTCAATAATTTTCTAGATAATTGTGCAATAAAATCTCCAAAACTCTCAACTGTGGTGAACTTTGATTGTAAATATATAACCAATGTTTGCTATTGATTTCTATTTTTTCTTTTCCAAAAAAATTTAACACTACTTTTATCCTCAAAATTTCTGCTTAAAATATATTTCCCCAAAACGAAATGAAATAAACTCCAATGCTTCCATTTACTATAATAATTAGCACGCATTTATACAAATAAATAAAATTTGTATTTATATTTTTTCTCATATAAAATATGTATGAAATTAGTAGACAAAACAAAAATCAACCGAATAATGTTACTTGAAAATCAAAAAATAAAATAACAAAATTGAGGAAAAACAAAATATATATAAGCAGGCTAAAACCAATTAAGAGGTTCGAATTTGCTTTGAAATCTAAAAAATAAAATGAAAACCCAATATTTATTTTACTTGACTTTGAGGAAAATTATAATTTTTGGTGGATGAGGGAGTTTTTTCCTTTTATTCTCAATTGTTTTTCCACTGAGAATAAACAGACAAATAACAATAATAGTAATTTGCCAGTTTTTCTTTTTTTATTTTTTATTTTTTAATTTGCCAACTTGGACCTTCTTTAGTGGAAAATGTCATCATTTTTTGCTAATCTCCGTCAATACTTAACGGAAGTGTCAATACAAGGATGACACTGAGATGTGATTGGAAGATGAGGGACTTTAATGGTGCATTTGAGAGATGAGGGACTATAGTGGGACGAAACGTAAATATGAGGGACTAACAATGAGATTTGGCCTTAATTTAAATACTAAATTATATGCAAAACTTCAGACTAATCTTTTTATTAGAGGTGATGACTGATGTGTCATTTTGGAATTTCCAAGTTTGATTCAACGTACAAGCCTGAATTTTACCTTTTCAGAATGTACAACTCTTTTTTCATCATTATTATTGATATTGATATTATTATTATTATTATTATTATTATTATTATTATTATTATTATTATTATTATTGAAGTCAAAGAAAGGTCCTTCCCCTTTCATTGTTTCTTATTCCAGTGTGTGTTTATTCAACTTTCTGATTTTCTGCATTTAACAGGGTTAATACCATGTTTTTTCCGTCAAGTTGTATAAACTGCATCTGCATACAGCCCACAGCAGATGTACCCTTGCTTTGTATTGGACCATGGTTTGCTTTTAATTGGACCATGGTTTGAGTCTGTTACATATATATATATATATATCCCCAACCATATAATTCCTTTTGTACTTGTTGTGGGCCAGCCAAGCACGTGTCACCGTCTCTAAGCTTTGTATCAACTTTTTGTAACCAACTATCGTTGGAAAATTAAACTAAAATATTCATTCCCTGTTTTTGTTATGGATGACATTTAATTTGACGTTTTGCCAGACCTACACTTTTTGTTAGAGCTATATATATATATATATATATATATATATATATATATATGAGAGCTATATTAGTATTGGATATAGGAATTTCCAATTGAGATGTGCTGTTCCCTTTCTATCGGACCATGGTTGGCATTTTTCTTGACCATGGTTAGAAATCAGTTCAACAGAAATTCACTAGTCGTTTCGGAAGACGGACCCCAGCTGTCACAGAAATTTATAAAATCAATTAATTTATTTGCCAAAACGTTTTTCACCTCTCTCTCTCTCTCTCTCTCTCTCTCTCTCTCTATATATATATATATATATATATATTCTCTCTCTAGTCTCTATTTAATCATCACTTCACCTCTTCCGGTGTCACTTCTACTCTTTTACTCGCAAGCAATCGCTCATTTCGTCTCTCTCTCAAAAAATTTCCTCTCTCTCTCGCTGAATCGGAGACTTCGTCGATCTCTCTCCATTGTTTTTTTTACTAGATCATCACTTTCACCTCTTTTACTCGCACGCAGTTGTTCTTTTAGTCTATCTTTCTCAATCTTTTGTGCACGCGCGTTTTCAAGCTGGAAATCATGAACCTGGATCAGTTCAAGGATTTTTTCACTTGGCTGGGACATCCGAGCCTGGATCCCGAAGATATTGATCAACAAAATTGTGGTATCAACTCTATAACCTGTTTTTTTTTTTCTTCTCGAATTTCACCTGTTTGTTTATATATGTATATATAATTTCGTGTCTCATCTGTTTATACGAATTTATTTTTATTTAATTCATGTTAATGTTACGTAATTAATTAGAAATATGTCAAAAAACTTGTTAAGATCGATTTGTAACTTTTGAGTTTTGTATTTGGAAGTCTGCTGTTGGTCGAAGGTTGCAGTTGCGCTTGCTAGTCACGCGCTGTGGACTGCCTGTCAAAAGATGAACAAACCTCGCTCATTTGAGGAATGCAAAGCCTCCGCACAGGAGCTCGTCGATATGTTTGCGGTTAAATATCCAGACAGAACTGGTCCCGTATATAAAAATGGTTGTTATCTTGCTCACCCTCGAAGGGCCCTTGAATATATCCAAAACTATGGAATTACTTTGAACTCGCATTATCCATACGTGGGGAAAAGACAGTTCAACACAGAACCACCTGCTGTAAGCCTCTATCATTATAATTTTTATTATTTATTTAATATTCTACTGATCATGTGATTTTATCTAATTAATATTTTTTGTTTTCTCTATATTAATTAAACAAGTTCCCCAGATTCAAAATTAAGGAGGTGATAAGACTGGTTGAACCTTCCATGGACGAAATAGATAGTCTCATACGCCGATGCCCAATCGCTGGCAAGGTTAAAATATCTGAGAACTTTGCCAACTGGAAAGGCAAGGTAATTAATTAACTTAATCAATTAGTTATTATTAATTAATACACATTTTAATTATCATTTAATTTTAATTAATTAGTTTAACGGTTTTTTTAGGGAATTTTTTCTGAAGAAGTTAGTGGTGAGGATTTAAAGTCACACAGCGTACTAATTATCGGCAAGGGTGTGGACTCCCTCAATCGACAGTTTTACCATATTAAAAATTCGTGGGGAAAGTCATGGGGGGACGACGGATATGCTTACATCCTATGCAAGCTAGTCACACCATTATGCTATGCAGAAGGAGCCTATTTCCTCGACGAAGAATGGTAAAAATCTGTATATCTGTTTCATATATATATATATATCCATCTTTCATCATCAAAAGTTGTTTCAATCATGCTTTCTAATAATCCGTATAATTAACTCAATGCACGTCTCTACAATCTGTATTCAGTGCAGTTGCTTCTACTAGCGGGGGAGTTACTCCAGATCGCAGTGCAGTTGCTTCTACTAGCGGGGGAGTTACTCCAGATCGCAGTGCAGTTGCTTCTACTAGCGGGGGAGTTACTCCAGATCGATAAGCCTTTGCTTTTATATTTGTTTTCATTACACCTTTTGCGATTTCTTATATATATATATATATATATATATATATTAGCAAGATTTTATATATGTCTTCTATAAGAGTAGTTAACGTGATATTTGACAAGTTTTTTTTTTCCATTTGTTCGAGGAAAATCACGAGAGTGAAGTTCATCGACAAGCAACCGAAGTATCGTAGGCGGCAGTGAGAGTTACTAAGCTTCCAAAGGTAAGTTTGAGAACTACGTTTGGCTTTGATTCTTCCATACATATTGGAGGATACGTAGGCAATTTATTTTTATGTTAAAAAGACTCATTTTGCAATGGTTGGTAAAGCTTTTGACGTAATTCATTTCACTTTTCCCTAAAAAAGATTTCAAGTATTTTTAGCCCGTTATTGAATTTTTCCCCACTTTATCCCAAAATGGTATAATTAAATGATTTCAGTTCACTTAAGTACAAAAAAACACCATTTTTTTTTTCAAAGTATAAAAGTAAAAGGATTTTTTTTTTCAAATGATTCCCCCCAAAAAAGTGAAAATGTATACTCAAAAGCTTGCCAAACATGGTCAAATGAACTTTCGTAACATAAAAATAAATGCAAGCCTTTTCATTTTGTTTTTAATAATTATGTTTTGTTTTAAGTTTACATGTGTATCGCATACGAACTGTTTTGATGTGTTCGTATGCATCCTTGAAAACTCCTATGAGCTCATTTAGTTCGCATGCTTGCGGAAACTATATTAAAAAGGTCAAGTTTCACAATCATTTGAAAAGGCGAGCCTCTTTCATTTACGTGCAAAGTGGTTTGGTTTGAATTTTTTATAAATCACCTAATTAGTTTTACTTTTGTAGATGGGATAAATAAATGATAGATAGATAAATAGTAGTGTGTGCATACGATTAATATGTGACCTGTTTTAGGATACATTTGATCGACCACAGTCGGTAGAGCTTACTTCGTTCGAAGTCTTTTTCAATATTATTTCGCGCGTGCATGTCACAGAACCATGCATAGATCTGTATCAGTATGCAAGGTAAAGCGTAGAACTTAATTTATATGTTCTGTTAAATTTTATAATCTTAAACTCCGTTTTGAAAATATGATACCCAAGTTATATTTTTATATGTATAGTTCGTTTCGCTATTTATACATTATCTCACCGATGTTTAGAATTATTTCGCCAACATACCGTGATATACTTAAGTAATTAAATCCCCTCAAGAGCTGCAATGTCCTCGGGGAGCTGCCGATGAGAGGCTGAAAATTTGGCCAAAAAATGACTAATAAATCATCATACCTTCGATTGACATGATGATCGGTTGTCTTTTTTTTTTTCTTTTCGTTATTGTGCGGTTAGTAAGTTAACTTCAGTTAATATTTCAGTAACATATATATAACTTTCGTGACTAAAATAAATGTCCTAAATAGCAAAAGATGCTACAATTTTTTAGGCATTCTCGTATGTAGGGTGTGTAGAAGAATCGAATAGAGCCGAACGCATATTTGTTAAGCTTCTTAAATGAGTTTGTTTGAAATATGAGAGTCTAAATGCGTCGAATTTTTGAAGTATAAGGGATCAAATAAATTATTTGAAAATATAGGAGACCAAATGTGTAATTTGTGCAAACGTAAGGGATGCACAAAAAATAATCGAACCCTAATCCGGGAAAAAGATGACATTAATATATATATATATATATATATATATATATATATATATATATATATATATATATATATATATCCCACTAAGCTTGTAGGTTATAAGAGGAATCCTCCAGCCCATGTAATACCCCATGCAAACCCTTCTTCTTTCTTTTCCTGTGTGTGTGTGTGTGTGTGTGTGTGTGTGTGTGTGTGTGTGTGTGTGTGTGTGTGTGTGTTCTCTATAGTACAGAAAACAGGGTTTGGTTCTCGATTACAATACAGCTTCGTGTGGGCGAGAGAGAAGAAGAGCACAGATGGAATCGAAATTCGAAGTTTCTGAATTTTACGTGCGTTCCCTATTACCTTAATTTCTTTTGATTTTCATCTGTTTGTTATTTTGGATCTAATAATTTATGAACCCTAAAATTGTTTAGGGAGGTGATCTGGTCTATTATCCCGGAGCAACCCCTGAAAGGCTGGAATATTGCAAATACGTGATCAACATCGCAACTGATCACCGTAAAAAACAGTACGTATGTTTTTCTTAATTTAACATTACAAGTTTTGCTCTCGATTTTGTGTTTTATTTAAAACTGCTGTGTGTTTCGTGATGTTATTATCTCTCTTTCGTTGAAATGCGCGTTAATCGAATAAATGTGCGTGATTGCTGCGTTGAGTTCATTGAGGTCGTATGTATTACTATTGCATTAATCGAGTTAAACGATGTATTTATTTGTTGCAGATGAGTATGACTACCATGTTATGGTCTCGTTTAATTTATTTGTTGACGAGGGCTGTGTTGGACATGATATGTGGTATAAGCATCGTAGACTCGTATTTTATTTTCTAAATCTTCCTTAATGATTCGAAAAATACCGTTGGGAACGAAAGGAACAAAAACCGGTTGAACTTATAACAATTTTTTTTTTTTGAATTTGAAACTGCATTCGATAATTGTCATTAGATGGTTGAGTTTTATTGAATGATGTTTAATTATGAAATACCTGTACTCCTGAAATGACATGCTTCATGCAGAGAAGCTTTCCGCTAGATTTGTTTAATTTAGACGAGAACGATTCAACTAGTGGATAATAGTTATGATTTAGGTAAATAATACTTTTTATTACAAAGCCAAACGGTAATTTCAGAGCTATAAGCATAAAGATAGCATGACCATGGAGTCGAGAAGACGCTTTCTGAGACTCTGTTGAACAGTCTACCTTCTTTCATCAATCTCTCTCTCTCTCTCACTCTCTCTCTCTCTCTCTCTCTCTCTCTCTCTCTCTCTCTCTCTCTCTCTCTCTCTCTCTAAAGTTTACCATTCTGACTGTATGCATTTAACACGTGGATTCTCCATTTATCCGTTTGCAGGTGATTCCAGGTTTAGAGAAGGCATATACATTTAGTCGAACAACGCTACAACTAGTAGCGTGTATTGGAACTTGCTTGTGTTGAAGTACTCGTTCGTCTTCCTTTTGTTTTCCTTCACTTTCTTTCCAGTTTTGTTTGTTCTTCGTACCTGCGTAGTTTCGCAAGTTGTTGAGTTTCGTATATACAGCCAATTAAAATACATTGCAAACCCATTATATACATATATATCTTACGTCTTAGGATTTGATGTTGAATTACGATCGACTGCGTTTGTACGGAATGAAGTCGAGAGAGATAGAAGAGAGAGATGGCTTCGAAATTAACGGAGGAAGAGATATTGCACGGCACTGAATTGGATGACGATATTAGATGATCTTAGCGTACGTTCCTCCCTCCAAACCCAAACCCTTCCCTTTTTTTTTTATTTAATTTCATCTGTTTGTTGTTTGTTCTAATTAATAATTTATGAACCCTAAAATTATTCAGACAGCTATCAAGCTCATGTATGATCGAGATACCCCCGGCTATAAACCCAAATATCTGGAATATTGCAAACCTTTAGTCGACCTCGCAATTGATACCTATAACCAACAACACGTAATTTTGTTAATTTTTTTTAATTTTTTAATTTTTTGATTTTTTGATTTTTTGATTTTTTGCTCTTTAAATTTTGTTTATTGTTTCTGATATTTTTGCCCTAATTTTGTTTTTTTGATGTGGTTGCAGTCAACACATTACCGTTTGGTGGAACTGATCAGAGTAATTGAATGTGTTTGTTCCGGTTTTTATTTCTTTATGAAGTATTCGGCCACCGATTCTGATTCCGATGCTGATGCTAAAATGTTCGCCGCAGATGTTTTCGATGGAATCTAAGAAACTACAATAGATTCTGTTTATATTGTGGCTGAAGGTGAAAGTCTACGAGTTGATACCATACCTGCCCGCTATTTTTGAATTTCGTCGGGTAATTCAACTTTTCTTATATAATTTTGCTCTGTGTTTTGTTTCTTTTCTTAAGCTGTTGTTCACAGTTATATATATTATGTGTTCGGTCTTCAACATGTTGGGAAATTTGTCTTTTAACGAGCATGCTTTGTTGAGTTCATCGAGTTTGTCTGTGTTATTGCATTGAATAAGTAGATCTATATAGAAGGCTACAATGTCTAATTAAGTTGACACAAAAAGATTGAAACCGGAAACTGGGTTCGGTATTTGGTGCGAAGTTTGAATTTATTCGAGGATATGATATCAGTAGGCATGAGGACTTGATAGTTATTATTAATGATATAATTATATTCGATACGTTTGTTGAATCTTGTATCCACAGAAAGAAATTTCAGAAGTTAACTTTGAGTAGTTGGGATTGTGCAAAAGGTGTAGAATAAGTTGTCGACGTTATCAATTTGCATTTTGTAGTTACTCGTACTTCTTATGAATTGCATTGTCGAAAGACTTGAGTAACCTTTTAGACTCCTCTTGAATCTTGCGGATATACTGATATGTCAACCGCTCTGAAAAATAGTTGTGGCCTTGAAGTTATTTTATTGATACATTTTTTTTTTGGGCGACGACTGATGTCCCAAAAGAGAGTCTTGGCTACCTAAAGAGTTGCACTTTTTGAAGTCGGAATTAGATTTACAATTTCCAGCATGAAATTTTTGAGAAACGTTTAGACCGATTTCGGAAGGAGAAGACTTTTTTCGGGACTGACTAATTGATTTGTTATCATGCTATATTTTGCGTTTCTTTTCCGTTAAGCAGTGTACCCTTGCTATATATTTAATAAACTGCAATGTGTGTGCTGTCTGAAGTAGGCGACCTTCTTTGAGTTTGCTCTCTCGGCCCTATATATTTAATATTTAGGGTAATTGGCACTTTGCACCCTTAAATTACATGACATTGGCACTTTGCACCCTTAAATTGAAAAAATGGCAGAATGCACCCTTCAATTACATTTTGCTTGGCACTTTGCACCCTAATTCATTCTTTAGATAGAAAAGTGACCTGCTACCTGTGGAAGAGGGGTAAATTTTTCTTTCTTTATTTCTCACAAACTTAAATATATTTCATCTTCTCCATTTCCCATATCCAAACCCGACCAAGAACAACTAATATTCCTTGTTCTCTATCAAGAGTATGAGGATACTTTACTCCAATTTTTTAAAAAAATATTTTTTTTTTATTCTAGAATAAATACGTATTCAATTAAAAGCAAGCATTCAAAATTAATGTTGTTAATATATTATATGCAAATAAATGTCATGCAATCTGCAATTCCTTAAATTTCACCACTCCGGTAGTATTTTCAACAGATAATAAAACTTAATTTTTCTTGTTCATATGGGCTTAAAAGGAGAATTATGTATATATTATGGTTATTTGTGTAAAAAAAAAGTGTTTGCTTGTATTGTTTTTGTTACATAAATTGGTTAAAACATCAAATGCCTTGAGGGTTTTAGTAAAATCCCAAGAAATGCATGTAAAGACCACGAAAAAGATTTTGAGCTAGACAAGAAAGCACAGTCTGGTGTGAATGTGTGTGAAAATATTTGTTAATTTCTGCAAAGCGAGTTCCCCTTTTCTGCAATTACGAGCATAGCTTTTGCGTTACATCTTGGTTTTATTTTGCATTCACATTTTTTTCCGAAAATTAAGAGAAACATCAAAATGACAAATGGAATAGTCAAAACACACTGTAATTACTATCCTAAAAAACAGTTTTTATATTTAATATTATGGAGTAGATATTTAACTAAAAAAACAAGAGAAAATCTATAAATGGATATTCTAATGTTTGGTTTATCTCCTTGGCACAAAGAGATGGTTGATTAGTTGTTGGATTGATGTAATTGACATTAATCTCGTACTTGTCTAAGAAACCATAAAAAAAAATTGTGAGAAATAAAAGAAAAAAAAATTACTACCCTTTTCAAATCTCACATAACAGGTAGCAGGTCACTTTTCTAGCAAAAAAATGAATTTGGGTGCAAAGTGCCAAGCAAAATATAATTGAAGGGTGCATTCTGCCATTTTTTTTAATTTAAGGGTGCAAAGTGCCAATGGCATGTAATTTAAGGGTGCAAAGTGCCAATTACCCTAATATTTATACTAAATTTTATTATTTTTATGCTAAAAAGATGGTAATAAGAAATTACAATTTATAATTATTTTTTAAACATTTTTATAAAATATTGGTAATTCGGTTATTTATCGAACCGAACGGTTTGTTTTGGTTCGTAAATGTATGAAACTTCCGTATAGTTTTTACCGAGTGAATACCCTTAATGAGAAGAATCCACGAACCCACCTATGATTGACTCAAAGGAAAAACCCAGCACATTAAATATAGGGATAATTAGTGAAAACCCCCCAATACATTTGATTATATTAGGATGGATATAACTCCATTTTACATATTCGTGAGAACCCCCTTATTTTATATTTTAATTTAACATAAATTCAGATTTTAAGTGGTATGTCTATATTACCCTTAGTTATTGTTTAAAATCACCAAACCCTATTTCTCTTCTTCATCTTCTTTTTTTTATCCAGCCACCACCTCTCTCGTTTCTATCCCCAACCCCAAAGCAGATCGCATCTTCCCACCGCCACCCTCCGTCAACCATCGTCGTTGCTGCACTCCGTCCACCGCCTTCGTCGCTGCCCTCCATCCACCGCAGTTGTCACCGCCCAACGGTGCTCTCGTTAATCCTTTACTCTTTTTGAGTATCGCCAAATACCAGAAGCCGTCATTCAGTAGGCAACAATCACTCTTCGATTGCCTCGAGTCGCGGCTCTTGTCGATTCATTCAACCCGAGGATGAAACCGGTAATAAAAAAACTCATCGGAGCAAAGCAGTTAATTCATCCTATATTTTGCCAATTTTAGATCGAATTTTCAGATTCGATTCAAATCTGTATTTATAATTTTCGATAAAAATATGGTTTGTAGTTGATTTTCGATATATTGTAGAGTGTAGTTGATTTTTTTACTAATTTTCTCTGAAACCACTTTAGGTATCCAAAGCGGCGATCTGATGTGGCATAGTGGTAATTTACGGTTGACGCAAGGGGTTTGCGTCCTTTCTTCACCATGTAGAAGTTGGTGAGTGGTTGGGACGGTGGCGATGAAACAAATCACTCTCACAGCCTTCGGATTCAACACGGTCGATGGAGATGTAGCCCTTTCTCGATGGATAGGCGACTGTATTGTCCAGCATCTGGATTGACCTATAGTTGTTTAATCTCTTCAATTGAGATTCTTTAATTCATAGTTGATTTAGACAAATTATAGTTGTTTTCGATTTTCATAGTTGGTTTAAATAATTTTAAAGTTGATTTGATAAATTTTTAGTTGATTTCAATTTGTTATGTTGATTTTCGTTAATTTGTAGTTGATATAATTTTAGTAAACTTGTTATTAAAAATAACTATTTTTTTGTGATTGTTGGTTCGAAAAATAAACGAACAAATAAATAGTTGTTTTCAGTAATCTATAGTTGATTATGGAGATAGTCAATTTCGAAAATAGTTGATTTCGGAAATAGTTGATTTTGAAAATAGTTGATTTCGGAAATAGTTGATTCCGAAAATTTTATAGCTGTTTTTGAAATTTTATAACGATATGAAAACAAAAAACTGGAAAATGAAAATAATAAAATTGAAAAAAAAATATATTTTTATTTTTCTTTAAATAAATAAACGAATTTTATAATAAAAAAATGAAATAGATATTAAAGTAGTGGAGAATAAGTAGTAAGGAAGGGTAAATTTGAGAATTAAAAAAAGTTGGACTTATCACTAATAAAGGAAATGGGGCTGGACCCATCTTTATTAAAAAAATGGTAGAGGGGGTTTTCACTAATAGCCCCTTAAATATATGTCTGGCCCATTAAATGTCTCTCCGGCCCATTAAATGTCTCTCCGACACGGTTTCCGTTTCCGTTATTAATTAAATTAAACTCAAATAAAAAAGGAAAGACATAATTGTTATAAAATAAAGGGTAAATTATGGCCAAGGTAATGTTAAATTATAAAAAAAACCCTATTATTTGGATATTTACAATTATTTTCTCAACTATGAATTTTTTTACACGTCTACCCTTGCGATGTCAAATTTAGAGGAATTTTCAGGATTATGTGGCATATTCATCAGTTTGTACCCATTTTATTCCATTTGATTTCCATAATTCGAAACAAGATGATCATAAAATGTATGTTTGGTCTATAAATATCAGATTGTGGTGCATTAGAAACTGCACTTTTGCACAAAACAAGTACTAACTAGAGAACATTCACGAAATCTAGAAGATTATGTTGAATTTGACAATATAATAATAAATGTGTAAAAAGTCTTATAGTTGATGGACGACTGCAATTATCCAAGCATAATAGAGTGTTTAGTAATTTGACCTTAGGAAGAGGCTATCATAATTTTACCCTAAAATAAACTACAAAATATACTACTAATACATAAGAAGTGTTGTATTAAAATAGTAAAACTAAATTGTAAATATGGAAACGTGCAGTATTATGGGTGTTGGAGTCCGACCATGTGACAACAATTATTAGTCCAGCCCATTAAGTAGCGTATTAACCCTATATTAACTACAAAAGATATAAAACAAAGGAACTACTACTACTAGCACTTAGGTTTTTTAATACGAATTCTAGAGAGAGAGAAGAGAGAAGAGAGAGAGAGAGAGAGAGAGAGAGAGAGAGATGGCTTTGAGATTGACGGATAAATTAAACGATGACGAACCAGACTGCGACGATAATGATTTTTATGTGCGTTAGCGTTCCCCCAACCCTTCCCTTTTTTTTTTTTTTTTTTTTTTTTGAATTTGATCTAATTGTAGTAATAATTGATTTGCCATATAATTAATTAGGGTCTTTCTAGGGTGAGATACCCCATGTTCTAAACTTTTATGAGATACGCATTAATCACCATTAATTTTCTAAGATTAAATCTGGACCCTAGGAAAATAACATGGCTTATGTTCTAAAAAATGAAGTACTTTACCAAATTATCCTTCGATTATTTTTTTTATTAAATTAATATAAAATTGATTAACATTGAATTGTCTAATTTACCCCCGACTATATTTTAATTAAACAATTAATTTAAATTCATTGTGACCGAGATTTATTTGATAAATAATCGAAAAAAATGCAATCATTAAGAATAGAACTTGTGACCTCTTAATACATTTATCACTCCTAACCATCCAAGCACATTAACTTATTATGATATATTTAACCATAATTGTATAAATAGTGTTAATTCAAATATTAATTGCAACATTCATTATTATTAAATGATATTAAATAAATTATTAACAAATTTAATAAAATAAAGTTTTAAAAATATAAAGAATTGCAGTTCAATACGCCAAACATCTATCATTAATTATATAATATTAGAAGTATTAATAAACTCCACCATTTAAAAATGTAAAGAATGCTCAATTAAATATAAAAAAATGCATAACTTAATTCAAACTCACTTATGTTATTTAATCGATAGTGTGACAAATCCAAATAAAAAATAAAATAATATGTTTGTTTAGAAGAAGAAAAAATTATAACTCATTCCAATTAGTAGTTTTCTTACTTTAAAATAAAATTATATACTACAAATACTATATTGTGAATTTTCTTTAAATATTTAATTTAATCAACTAATAAGATTTGAATCGATGAAGTACAAATCCTTTCAATTAGTAAACATTATTCAAATATTTTAATCGGTTGCTTAACTATTGACATAACATGTTACATAATTGATTTAACTATTTATAAGTAATGTCTAATATCTTTTTAATTCAATTTTGTCATAAAAAATAGTAAATTTAATTCCTAACACATGTAAGAACCTAATCGTAAATCATAATATTTTATCAAAGCGTAATATTTGAACCAATTAAGCTAAAGTCCTTTCAATTCGTAAAAATTATTCAAATATTTGAATCGATTCATTAGCGCGCTCAACTATTGACAAGAACGTCTTAATCAAATTAACTATTATTAATTAAAGTGTAATACATTTTTAATTCAATTTTATCATAAAAAAATAATTCCTAAATTACGCAAGAATCAAATCATAAGATTAATTAAAGCGTATGATTTGAATCAATTAAGCGCAAATCCTTTTAATTTGTAAATATTATTCAAAAATTTGAATCGATTAAGTTCAACCACTGACAAGAACGTATTAATCGAGTTAACTATTTATGATTAAAGTCTACTATCCTTTTAATTCAATTTTAACAACAACATAATAATTTAATTCATAAAATCGTAAAAATCATATCGTAAATCGTAAGATTTAATCTAACCATGAACCGATTAAATCTTACGATTTTTACGAATTAAATTTTATTATTTTTTATGATAAAATTCAATAAAAAAAGGTTACTAAACTTTAACTATACACAAATTGATTAATACGCTATTGTAAATTATTGAGTTTAACCGATTCAAATATTTGAATATTGTATACGAATTGAAATGAGTTGAGTTTAATCGATCAAATCTTTGAATATTGTTTTTGAATTGAAAACACATAAGTTTAATTGATTCAAATATTACGATTTAATTAAATCTTCCAATTTACGATCCAATTCAAACTTCAAATTCTTTCGAAACTCATTTTTAAATTACACGAGTTGAACAACATTTCCTTAGATTTTTAAATTATATTATATAAAGATTTGTTAGTATGGGATATTTTTAATATATAATAATAATAATTATATGAGAATTAATAATTTATTTAACATTATTTATATAAGTTTTATAACCATTATAAATTGTAGCTTTGTGATATATATCCGTATTGTTAGTTTATTGTCAATTATGTGTTGTGTCTTAATGGTAAGTATTCTTGTGTGTTTTCAGATGGTCACGAGTTCGAATTCAGGTTGATGCAATTTTGGATGGGTGGTTTAATGATTTTTACAAATAATGATATAATTGACATTATAAATTTTAATTCAGCAATAAATATATATTTAAAATTGCATTAAAAATATAGAGGGTAAAATTGACATTACATTAATAATATATAATGGCCGATTTTTTGAAAATATTAATTATACGAATTGGATTTTTTGACAGGGACACGTGGCGCAATATAAAGGGGGTATCTCATAAAAGTTTAGAACATGGGATCTCACCCTAGAAAGACCCAATTAATTAATTGTTTAGTGTGGTCACAAGCTGATGTACGATCGAGATACTCCAGGCTATTTCCCCCCTAACCTTGAAGATTGCATACCTTTGGTCGACCTGGCTATTGATTCCTATAACCAGCAACACATAAGATTTTTTATTTTTTATTTTTTTTTGATTTTGTTTTTCACATCTTAATCGGAATTTAATTAGTGATTAATTTTAAATTATCCTCTGATGTTGTTGCAGTCCAAAGATTACCGTGTGGTGGAGATTGTGAGAATAATTGCAGCTGTTTGTTCCGGTATTGATCTCTATATGAAATTTACGGCCGCCGCATCCAAGGAGGATGGTGGCAGTGACGCCGCCGTAACTTTCGGAGCAGAGGTTCACAAAGGAATTACGGAAACAACCGTAGAATATGTTTACGTTGTTGCTGAAGGTGCAACTTTACCTGTTGATGTCTTACCTGCCTGCTATAATCCCTGTGGTTGAAGGTAATTAATTAATCAACAAGTTTGGTTGGATCTGTATTTATTTTTCTTAATAACAAATTAGTTTGTTAAAGACAATTATAGATATCATGTTATGGTCTCGTTTAATTTGCTGGTGAACATGTCGACGTGAGTGTCGGACTGCCTGACAATATGTAGATCGAAATTCTTTCATTTAGAAATACCTGACCATCACAATTACATCACGAGAAAATTACTCTCTTAACCCTCAAACCATCTCATCCAGATCATCGGACCATGCTCACTTAATAAACCCGTGCTCGTTTATCACCTGGTTAATATTCTCCGTTTTCCATGTTTAAACTCTCTCTCTCATGAAAACTTTCTGACTGTATGCATGTAACACGTGGATTCTCCATTTAAACATTTGCAGGTGATTCCAGGTTTAGAGAAGGCATATACATTTAGTCGAGGAAAGAGTCATACAAACAATAGATATAGAGCGACAACTAGTAGCGTGTATATGAAACTTAGTTGTGTTGAAGTACTCCGTGTCCGTCCGTCATTGTTAGTTTCGCCAAAGTTGTTGAGTTTCGTATATATATGATTAATATTTCTTTGATTTGATTAAAATCTACAAATATAGATAAAGCAACAAAAAATTTAGGTGTATATTTTGTAATTGATAATACACACATGCTTTGGATTAGACACGGCCACAGGCCGGTTCGGGCCGGTTCCGGGCCGGTTCAAACCGGTTCACGGTTCACATTTTTCGGAACCGGAACCGGCCCGTAGTATGGACGGTTCAGTGGGCCGGGTCGGCCCGCCGGTTCGGGCCGGTTCCGGGTCGGCCCAGAAATTTTGATTTTTTTTTTTGAAATATTTGATTAATAAGTAAATTAAAAGAAGTACTTTTAAATAAATAAAGGAAAATGAAATAAATGAAAAGTCAATTTAGAAGCACAATAAGTAATGTAGGGTATCAAACTGCCAAGCTCCATTCACAACCTACTGAAAAACAATATGTATTCCCCTTGTGCAGTATTAATTACTGCCAAGGAGGATAGATATATATATATATATAGGTATGAAAGTATAAAAGAAAGAAAGAAATACAAGGTATGAATAGATTGGAAAAACAAATAGATTGAGATTTTCAGCTCAGTCTTCCAATTTCACACCAGAGATTCACACTTCCAAATATACACCACCAGAGTACCTCAAGGAGAACAAATCTCCTTTTTTCTCTCTCAAAACACTCAAACCCTAAATTACCCAGAAACCACGAAGGAAGAACAGATCAAGCACTCAAGCTAACCCACTCACCAAAACCCCAATTTCTGAACTCACAAAGAAGAAAACGAAGGGATTTAGGTCGGTTTAGGGTTTTATCTGTATCTTATCCTTTTCCAGCCTTTATGCCAACATATATAGGGACTGAAGTCAAAGAGAGCCGGTGAAGGCTGTACCGGAGGGTCAAAGTCAGCACTGTACCGTGCACTTTGACCTCCAGCCATAACTCAGTCAAGGTAGTACAAGGGAGGAAGAAGACAGAAGCAGGAGCGGCGGAGAAGAAAGGGTGAGAGTTAGGGTTTCAGAGTGAGAGAGACGAAGAGAGAGAAAATGCTATTTAAGTGAGATACTGAACGGTCCAGATTAAGCCTGAGATCCAACGGATGGATCTGGCTCTGAAATGGACTGGGCTCACTTATAATAACTTGGGCTTAACTCAGTATGGTGGTGTATATTAAATGATGGCAATTGGGCTTTATGGCCCAGAACATATTTGGGCCAAAATCCTACAATTCTCCACCTTGGACCAAATGTGAATCATTAGTGAAAATTTCTAAAAAAATTTTGGAAGTCAACATTGCTGATTTTTGACACACCAGTAAGAGCACACAGTTCATACAAAGTATATCAAGTTGAATTCACTCAGAATACAACTTATCTGCATTTTTTTAAAATAAATGCAGTAATGCAATCACATAGACAGCACAATCTTAGTCACACAGAAAAAGATTAAACAAGCAATCACAAAGAAAGCATAAATACCAAAGTCACACAAACTAGCACATAGCAAGTCAAGATTTGGAAAGAATGTTCAAGTTTTGCAAACAAGAACAGAATTTTTCAGAAGACAGACATTTTGTTCCCATGTCAGCTGGATTGAACTCAGATGGGATTTTTTCAAGGTCAATAATCCCTTTTTCAACTACATCCCTAATGAAATGGAACTTCACATCAATGTGTTTAGTTCTATCATGAAAAACAGGATTTTTACACAGTTGAATGCCGGATTGACTATCAGAAAATACTACCACTTTGGAATTAAGCATTTCAACTTCCAACAACAGCCCTTTAAGCCAAATGGCTTCTTTAATAGCCTCAGTAGCAGCTATATATTCAGATTCAGTAGTAGACAGAGCAACAATGTGTTGGAGTTGAGATTTCCAACTAACACAAGCACCATTTAAGGTGAACACATAGGAGGTAGAAGATTTTCTATTGTCCCTATCATTGGCAAAGTTTGAATCCACATAACCACACAGTTCAATCTCAGTTTTACCTTTAGAAAACATCAAACCAGTATTCACAGTACCTTTTAAATATCTAAGCAGCCATTTTAATGCCTCCCAATGGGGCAAACCTGGATTAGACATATATCTACTCAAGCAACTCACAGAATATGCAATGTCAGGCCTAGTACTAACCATCAAGTACATAACAGAGCCAATGGCATTGGCATAAGGCACATTTTTCATTTCAGAGATTTCAGGCTCAGTCTTGGGAGACTGATCCTTACTTAGCAAAAAATGAGAAGCAAGAGGAACAGACACAGGTTTGGCAGACAGCATAGAAATTTTTTCAAGGATTTTCTCAATATAGGAGGATTGATTCAGAAACAAAGTGCAGCCAGGTCTATCTCTAATTATGTCCATGCCAAGAATTCTTTTTGCATCACCAAGAAGTTTCATATCAAACTCATCACTAAGGCATTTAATCACATGATTAACAGTTTGAATGCAAGGACTAGCAAGAAGCATGTCATCCACATAGATAAGCAAGAACACAGGAATTTTTGCAGATTCTTTAAAATATAAGCATGGATCATATGAACTTCTTTTGAATTTTAAAGACATCATGCATGCATCAAATTTCTTGTTCCATTGCCTAGGTGACTGTTTCAGTCCATACAAAGATTTCTTTAGAAGACACACATAATCAGGATGTTTTTTATCAACAAAACCCTCAGGCTGGCACATATAGATTTGCTCATCTAATTCACCATGCAAAAAAGCAGTTTTTACATCCATTTGTTTTAATTCCCAGTTAAAGTGAGCAATTAAAGCAAGCATGATTCTAACAGTGGTGAATTTCACAACAGGAGCAAATATTTCAGTATAATCAATACCTTCCTTTTGGGTAAACCCCTTAACCACTAGCCTAGCTTTGTATCTAAAAGACTCAGATTCATGTTTGACCTTAAACAACCACTTACAGTCAACTAAGGAGCATGCAGGAGGTTTAGGTACAAGAATCCAAGTATGGTTAATATGTAAAGACTTCATTTCATCATTCATAGCATTTAACCATTCAACAGACTCATCAGAATTCAAAGCTTCCCCATAGGACTTAGGTTCATTACCATCTAGAGAATCAAACACATGAAACACATGAGAAGCAAGTTGATAATCATTCAAACGAGGGGGTCTAACAATGTTTCTTCTATCTCTGTCCCTAGCAAGTTGATAATCACCAAGATCATTCACAGAGGGAACATCAAGATTAGCATTTTGATCAAAAACAGTGTTTTCAGGCATCTCATTATTAACAACTTCATCATCAGAGTTTTCATTTTCAGTTTGAACAGAATTAACAGGTGGAATCTCCACCTCAGATGAAGTGGTATCAGGGGAAACAATGGTAGGAGCAGATAAGCATGGAAATTCATTTTCATTAAACACAACATTTCTGCTAATCACAGTTTTAAAGCCCTGATCACCATACAACCAACATCTATACCCCTTAACCCCTTCAGGGTATCCTAAGAAAACACATTTCACAGATCTGGGGTCCAGTTTATCAAGTTTTTGATGAACAAACAGTACAGCCAAAAACTTTCAAATTTGATAAATCAACAGGTTTACCACACCATTTAAATTCAGGCAATTCCCCATTCAAGGGCACAGAAGGAGACCTATTTATCAAATAAGCAGCAGTAAGAACAGCTTCACCCCAAAAAGGTTTTTTCAAGCCAGAAGAATTTAACATAGACCTAACTCTATCAAGTAAAGTTCTATTCATTCTTTCTGCAATACCATTTTGTTGGGGTGTGTACACAACAGTCTTATGTCTCTTAATGCCAGATTCAGAACACAGAGTATCAAATTCAGCATTGCAGAATTCAGTTCCATTATCAGTTCTCAAAGTTTTGATTTTCTTTCCAGTTTGGTTTTCAATCAAGATTTTCCAATTTTTAAATCTTTCACACACATCAGATTTATTCTTGAGTAAAAACACAAACACTTTTCTAGAAAAATCATCAACAATAGACAAAAAATATCTATTACCACCATGAGAAGGAACTGGGGCAGGGCCCCACACATCAGCATGCACATATTCAAGTATATCTGAACATTTAGAAGAATTGGGGAATGGAGAAACATGAAATTTAACTTTAGTTTGTTTTCCAAAAATGCATGAGTCACATATAGGCAAATTGGTCACACAATCATCACTCAGATAATTATTTTTATGCAGAATTTCAAGACCTTTACCATTTATATGACCTAACATTTTATGCCACAGAATAGGCATGTCATGATTAACATTGTTGGCATGCAAAACAGGTTCAGCAGAACACACATAGAGGTTTTGCATTCTAACAACTTTGAAAACAAATTTATCATGCAACATGATTCTTTGACAACCATCTCCCCAATTACCATGCAGACCACTATCTTCAAGAATAGCAACAGATAACAAATTACTGCTCAGTTTGGGAACATGCCTAACATTTTTAAGAACTAATTCAAAACCAGATTCA